CTGCCTGTCTGTCTGTCTGTCTGTCTGTCTGTCTGTCTGTCTGTCTGTCTGTCTGTCTGTCTATCTGTGTGTGCGTGCGTGCGTGCGTGCGTGCGTGCGTGCGTGCGTGCGTGTGTGTGTGTGTGTGTGTTCGTGCGTGTGTGTGTTCGTGCGTGCGTGCGTGTGTGTGTGTGTGTGTGTGTGTGTTTTCGCAGCCTCTGCTAGTAATTACGTATGACGATCGTTTGCACGGTTGCTGTACAGTGTCGTTCTGACATGATTACGTTGCGTGTGTGCGGGAACGGGTGCTTCATTCGATGACGAAGCCAGTGCGATTGGGTATTCACGGTTTGAGTGAGTCAGTTGGTTGTTTACGGTCAGCGTTTCAGCGATGTCTTATTTTGAGCTCTCGCGATCCGACAGGCAAGAGGATTGCGGTAACACGCGGACGAGGATTAGCCCAGTCCGTTCTCCACTGGTTTTGGCATCGCGCGGACGTGTGCTTTTTTTCCTTCGGCAAGGACCATCGAGGAGCATCCTTGATGATTTGGCGAAAAAACCACACACGAAACCGCAAAAAACGCAGGGAATGGACGTCCGAGCGATGCCCAGTGGTCCATGTCCATGTCGGGACCCCTCGCCATCCCCATCCTACCATTATCTATGTGGACTCGTCTTCGATGTCGTGTGCTTCCCACCGGCATTTACCTTCCGATATCTGATCTCCTCGGCGCACCCTTCCTGCCAGTGGATGCTCGGCAGAGAACCTGCAGAAGCCGCCGAAGACCTTCGCATCTGCTCGAGAGCGGTTATCCTCTCCTCCCCCCTCGTTCGCTCGCTCGCTCCACAGTCAGGAGGGGAAAAAACACGCAGACACAATTAATCGTTCACTCCCACGAGAATATGGGAAAAGATGGAGGTGGGGAGGAAGACAAAACCCTAGAAAATATAGGAAAATATGGTGAATATTTTTATTTGTGTGTCCTGGGGCCCCTTCACACAGGGCAATACACGATGCCCATGCCAAAGGGGCAGGGCGTGCACCGCAGCAGGGGAAGACTTATAACCCGTCCAAGGGTGCACCCCCGTGCCGGTCCCCCCCCCACTGCGCCTCCTTCCCGCCCTCCTGCCTCTCCTCCTTCCTTCGTTGTCATCCTACTTCCGCGCCCTCCGGCCCGCAGTGCCGGTGTCGGCAGCGGGGCTCCTAGTAGTTGTCAGAGCAGACGGTGAGTCCACCGAGGTATCCCCTTTGCCCAACACCACAGGAGGCTTCACATCACCGCGGGACGGTGGCCGCGAGTGGTCAGATGACAAGGGCCATGGTTGTCTCCTTCTCACCGATTCGCTCGGAGCTTTGCGACGTCTGCTGTCGCCCTTCTGCACATTCCCCCACACTCTCCTCCCCCTCCTCGCATTCCTGCCCAGTCCCGCGCGCTCCGCCGTTCCTGAACACTCCTGCACGTCGCCCCCTCGTCCTCGTCCTTCTTCCCCCGCCATCCTCGTGTTCCTTCCTGCCCCCCTCGTCTTCTTCCCTCCTTCCGAAGCCCTCTTTGCCCTGCCCCCCGCGAGGCGGCCGCCGCCGCAGGCGGAGGGCGCGGTCTGCCGCCCGGGCCGCGGGCGGCGGGTCTCCCCCGGGGAGGGGGAGGGGCGAGCGGCGGCTGCTCTGGGCGCGGTTTCCCCCCGCGGGTCGTTCCTCCTCCTCGCAGCCGTGAGTTGCGATGTCTCCTTTGACCACTGCTGCTCGTGCTGCTGCTACTCGTACAAGTGCTGATTCTGCTACTGTTGTTGCTACTGCTACGACAGCTAAGATCACTAGTACTTTGACTACTGCTACTTTACGGTTACAACAGCAAGTATAACAACTCGTAATAGCATGTGTAGTATCACCACCATTACTACGACAACAATAGCTACTACTACTAAGACTACTACTACTACTACTACTACTACTACTACTACTACTACGACTACTGTTACTACTACTAATAATACGACTACTAATGATACGACAACTACTACTACTACTACTACTACCGCTGCGGCCACTACTACTACTACGAATGTAATTGCGAAAATTATTAATACGACGACCCACTACCACTACGACCACTACGACTACTGCTGTTACTACTAATACTACTACTACTACTACTACTAATATTACGACTCGTGCAACCACCACTACTACGACGACTACTACTACTACTACTGCTACTGCTACTACTGCTACTACCACTACTACTACTACTACTACTACTACTACTACTACTACTACCACTACGACCATTACTGCGACTACCACCACCACTACTACAACAACTATTACTACTAATACTACTACTGCGACTACTACGACCATTACTAATACTACTATTACTACTATTATTACTCTTACTACTACTACTACAACTACTACTGCTACTACGACGAATACGACTACTACCACTACTGTTGCTTCTACTACGACTACGACTTCTTACTACTACAACTACTACGACTAGTGCTACTACTACTACTACTACCACTACTACTACTACTACTACTACTACTACCACCACTACTACTACTACTACTCCTACTACTACTACTACTACTACTACTACTACTACTACGACTACTGCTACCACAAGTGAAACAAATACGAATATTCTGAATACTACTACTACTACTACTACTACTACTACTACTACTACTATACTACTACTACTACTACTTCTACGGCTACTGCTACTACGACTACTACTACTACCATTACTGCGACGACCGCCACCACCTACTACAACTAATACTTCCACTACTCCTACTACTAGTACTAATAATAGTACTAATGCTACTATTACTACCATTGCTACCACTTTTACTACTACTACTACTACTACTATTACTACTACTACTTCTACTACCACTACTACTACTACTACTACTACTACTACTACTACTACTACTACTATTCCTACTACTACTACGACTACTACTACGACTAGTAGTAGTACTACTACTACTACTACTACTACTACTGTTGCTACTACTACTACTACTACTACTACTACTACTACTACTACTACTACTACTACTACACCGGCGCTACGAAAGTTTTGACCCGTTTTGTGTTTTCAGCTAAAAAACGAACTTTATTTTGCAGGAAGTCCTGCGCGGGAGCGCCATTTCGAAATCGAGGCAGAAAGGTTTCGACTTCTCTGTTAGAGGAAGTCCTGTGCGGGAGCGCCATTTCGAAGTCGAAGCAGCAAAAGGTTTCGAATTCTATGTTTGCGGAAGTCCAAGGCGGGAGCGCCATTTCGAAATCGAACCCGAAAGTTTCGAAATCGTTCGAATTCGTTTTTTTTCGAGGAAGTATCAAGCGAAGCCGCCGTTTCGAAATGGCCACACTGTCCGGCAATTAAAATTTTAAAAGCCCTGGCCCGGAGTCTTGAAAATGCCGCTTTCGCTTAGGACTTCCCCCCCATAAAACGAGCTCGACTGGATTTCGAAACCCTCGGGCTCGATTTCGAAATGCGGCTTTCGCCTAGGACTTCCTCCCCAAATCGAGCTCGGCTGGGTTTCGAAACCCGCGGGCTCGTTTTCGAAAGGGCGGTGCCGCCCGAGACTGGAGCGACAAATGCTTCAACCGAACATTGTATTGGGGCCCCGCGGCCGAACGGGCCCACTGCCAACGTTGTATTGGGGCCCCGTCGCCTAAAGGGAGGCGTTGAATTTTGGTCGAACTTTCGTAGCGTCGAAGTGGAACTTCAAACCTCATACGGTTGCAATTTAACTTGAGCCGAACAAGCTATTGACCATCAGGTCCAGCGTAACCGTAGGAATCATTCATGCCAATCGTGTAAGATGCCCAGTGGAACCTCAAACCACATATGGTTGCAAGTTAACTTGGGCCGAACAGAGTACTGACCATCATGTCCAGCGTAACCGTACGAATCATTCATGTCATTCGTGTAAGATGCCCATCGGCGCTACGAAAGTTTTGACCCGTTTTGTGTTTTCAGCTAAACAACAAACGTCAGTTTGCAGGAAGTCCTGCGCGGGAGCGCCCTTTCAATATCGGAACAGAAAGGTTTCGACTTCTCTGTTTGAGGAAGTCCTGCGCGGGAGCGCCATTTCGAAGTCGAAGCAGCAAAAGGTTTCGAAATCTATGTTTGCGGAAGTCCAAGGCGGGATCGCCATTTCGAAATCGAACCCGAAGGTTTCGAAATCGAACCCGAAGGTTTTTTCCCAACCATCCTGTGGTGTTGGGTCCTCGTTTTGAAGAGACGGTGCCCCGCGTTCTCCCTCCTTCCTTCCTCCCGCTGCCTCCTCCCCCCTCCCATCATCATCATCATCAACACCCATTTCGGCACACCCCTCACACGTTTCGTGGCTCCATAGGGAGCTCCACCGAAGCCCCCAGTGCCCGCGGCCGCATGCGTCCCCCACACCCATTTCGGCACACCCCTCACACGTTTCGTGGCTCCATAGGGAGCTCCACCGAAGGCCCCAGTGCCCGCGCCAGCATGCGTCAGCCACACCCATTTCGGCACACCCCTCACACGTTTCGTGGCTCCATAGGGAGCTCCACCGAAGGCCCCAGTGCCCGCGGCCGCATGCGTCACCCACACCCATTTCGGCACACCCCTCACACGTTTCGTGGCTCCATAGGGAGCTCCACCGAAGCCCCCAGTGCCCGCGGCCGCATGCGTCCCCCACACCCATTTCGGCACACCCCTCACACGTTTCGTGGCTCCATAGGGAGCTCCACCGAAGGCCCCAGTGCCCGCGCCAGCATGCGTCAGCCACACCCATTTCGGCACACCCCTCACACGTTTCGTGGCTCCATAGGGAGCTCCACCGAAGGCCCCAGTGCCCGCGGCCGCATGCGTCACCCACACCCATTTCGGCACACTCCTCACACGTTTCGTGGCTCCATAGGAGCTCCACCGAAGGCCCCAGTGCCCGCGGCCGCATGCGTCCCCCACACCCATTTCGGCACACCCCACACACGTTTCGTGGCTCCATAGGGAGCTCCACCGAAGGCCCCAGTGCCCGCGGCCGCATGCGTCCCCCACACCCATTTCGGCACACCCCTCACAAAAGACTTTCGTGGGCCCATTAGGGATCTCCCCCGAAGGCCCAGTGCCGCGCCGCAAATGCGTTCCCCCACAACCGAGTTCCGGCCACCCCTCAACGTTTCCGTGGCTCCATAGAAAGCTCCAGACACCGAAGGCCTACGAGCAGGCGGCCGCATGCGTCCCCACACCCATTTCGGTCACCAACCCTCACAAGCTTGTCGTGCTCATGGAGCTCCACCGAAGGCCCCAGTGCAGCATAGCAAATTCAGCTCGCGGGGGGGCTCTCATGCGTGTCCCCCAACCCATTTCGGCACACCCCTCACACGTTTCGTGGCCTCCATAGGGCTCCACCCGAAGGCCCCAGTGCCCGCGGCCCGCATAGCGTCCCCCACAGAACCCATTTCGGCACACCCCTCACACGTTTCGTGGCTCCATAGGGAGCTCCACCGAAGTCCCCAGTGCCCGCGGCCGCATGCGTCACCCACACCCATTTCGGCACACCCCTCACACGTTTCGAGGCTCCATAGGGAGCTCCACCGAAGGCCCCAGTGCCCGCGGCCGCATGCGTCACCCACACCCATTTCGGCACCCCCCTTACACGTTTCGTGGCTCCATAGGGAGCTCCACCGAAGGCCTCAGTGCCGCCGCCCGCATGCGTCACCCCCACCCATTTCGGCACACACCCCGCATTTCTCGCACGGCAGGGTCATCGCCACGGTGGCGTGCCAGGGGCGCACCTTGCGCGAAGTCGACGGGGCGGGGGAACGGCGCTCCGGGGGCGGCCAGACCTCCGGGACGCGAGCAGTCCGCGGCCAGACCATCTCTCGGTCCTGTGGACTCTCGCCCTGGGCCGTCGGCTGCCCGGCGCGCTGCTCCCTCGGTCGACGTCGCCCAGGCGTGATCCTGGATTGCGGCCGCCACGAGGTAGGGAACGGCAAGAAGGAGGACGACGACTGGTGGCTGGAGCTCTACGCGCTGCTCTCGCGCGCCACGCGCCACGAGGACCTCCTGCTCATGCGGGCGCCGCGCATCGAGTTCTTCCTGGCAGGGCCGCCGCAGGGCTTGCGGAAGCAGCTGGAGCAGTTTGCGGCGCGCACGAAGCGGTGCAGGAGGGAAGCGACGGCCCTCGCCAGGGAGCTCGGCTTCACCGAGTTCATCCGCGAGGCCTGACCTGAGGAGCGTCTCCCCCGAGCCGCGCCTTCTCTCGACTGCCCGACTAATTGTTTGGCCTCGCGCCGCGGACGACCCGCGCGCGTCGCTGGGACCCTCTCGGGGCGACCAGCGCGCGTCGCGAACTCCGTGCTGCGGGGGGCCCGGCGCCTCGTTCGCCCGTCGTCGCTCTGCCCAGCGGTCAGAGACTTGCCCGCTATCAGCCAGCCAGTTAGCTAGTCAGCTCTCTCTGCTTCGCGCAGCGGACGACCCGCGCGCGTCGCTGGGACCCCGCCCGGGGCGACCAGCGCGCGTCGCGGGGACTCCGCGCTGCGCTGCGCCCGCAGCCTTGGATTTTGGAGTGCGCGGGCAAAGAGGAAGGAAAAGAAGAGCCGAAAGCGGGCGCGATCCTCGCAAGAGGCGTGCCGACATGGGCGTCGCGACATGCGGACGCTGCCGTCGGGGTTCCCGCGGAAGCTGCCTGCGGCGGCCACGCCCAGTGTCACGCGTGTTCGGACAGGCATGCTCGACACTTACACTAGGCGGTTCCATG